CAGTTCATCTTTGTTGGCCGCTCGATGCTGCCTCTCTTGGTAGTCGTTGCCACCACCTTAGCTATTGGCACCAACCATTGGCCAGCGGCTTGCGCCCCACCATATAATTTTTTCAATATACTTCAAGTCAAACAAAAAATATAGTACTATAATTATTTTACAGTAAGACAAAACTCGAAAGTATTTAAAATACATTTTAATTACAGTACTTTAAAAATCTTTTACATTGCATTTTATAAACTCGAAAGTATTTAAAATACATTTTAATTACAGCATTTTAATTTCAGCAAGCCAAACGGCCTCGTAATCAAAACTATTCTCTCATTATCGGAGATATAATTAACCCTAGGGCCTGCGAGAAATTTTGAATTAGATAAAAATGTTCTTGGGTAATTTCTTTTCTTAACCCATTATGCCTTCTGAAAATTAGATCTCGAACTTCAGAAAAACTCTGAAGGCTACAGGAGCTGATCTTCATGGTGCCACTTCAACACATATCTTTCATAGAATTTATCTAGTTAGATTAAAGCTTTTTTATTTCTACTGCAAGGTTTATAAAAATTCCTATGATCAAAATCTTTAACCTAGAAAAATACTAGTAATAGTTGTGATAACAATTCAGTATATATATCCTACAATGGCTATAATTTTCTGCTTGAACTGTAACTTTGTTTATCTGTGCACACAATACTTTAACACTACATTAAACCAACATAAATTGTAATTGACAAACTTAGCCCATACTGGTTATAGCAAATATAAACGGAGAGCGGTAGCAGTTCATTTTACATACTGCTTCCATAATTATAAGAGCAAAGAAAACAACTTCTTTCAATCATATATAGGCATTAGTCAATCTAGAAATAAAATGCAAAGAATGGGTGAAGTACATATTAAGAAAAGTAGCTATTTCTTGCAGCTTGGGATGTCAATTCGGATTGATTGATCATGTTTTTTGACCTGAATTTGGTTTGTTTATTATATGAGTTAAAATATTTGACCCGAAGCTAACTCGACCTGGGCCCACTTAATTCGAACTAGATTGATCTAGTTATAGAGCTTGCAATTTTTTGGATCAGCATGACCTATTTAAACAAAATATGACCCGTTTAACTCGAATAACTTAATTCAAACTTCAATAGTATTGGAGTCATGTTTGGGTTTATTTCAATTTAATGAATAATAATTGGACCTACATGTTTGGCCCCTAATCCGAACGGTAATGATGTCAAATTTATATGGATTTTTTGGGTTGTGCTTGTAGTGGTTGTTGGCGAATCGGCGATTGCCATGGAGCTATTGCTTAGTTCCTTTTTGGTCAACGGTGTGGATGGAAGCTAGATGGCAAATCGAGAAGTAAAAAAAGAGTGGAGGAGCTGACAGGTGGAGAAAGGAATAAATTTTAGTCGACAGAGAGTTTGCATAGCCGCCGGAGGAGGCCACGCAGCTGTTGAAAGTCATAAACAAATGAAATTAGGAAATAAGAAATCAGGGTACGAGGGGATTGTGAGGTTAATGATTTACGACTGATGCCGATTGCAAACCTTATTGCCCACCCAGTTAAGAAAGCACTTTTGAGTACTAAAATTAATCCAATCAAATAAATGACTTTATCTCTTATAAACAATGTGTGGCCTTTTGAATTGATAAACTGATGGCAACTGGGTCTGCGAGGATTGATCAATTAAACTTTGCTTTATGCAAAATATTCAATTTCCATATCCTTCAAAAGATAAAGTTTGAAAATCATCTACCTGATAATGTTATTTCCGCGTAAGATTTGATCAAGGGCTGGTGACCGGCAGCAATTGAATAGGCCTGATTTAATATTGCTCATCTGAGCCAATCCTAATCTGGCTAAAACTAGTAGGTTAATTTAAACTTGATATTACATCCTCTGAACAAGGCTAATTAGTTGATAAAAGTAATTCTTTTGAACTCTTTGAATTGTAGCCGAATAAATATGATTATCATTATAAAGTATGCATGAATATTAGTGCACCATCTTGAGTCACTTCCTGGGTTATAATAGCCTTGAACAATTCAGGCCTGATTGGAGCTGGAGCTGAAACTGTCATGATCAAGTTAAACATAAGGCTAAATGGTTTGGAATCGTCCCAACCAATGGCCATAATAGGCTATAATCAACTGGTTCAAAATGGAATTGAACCATTTATTATCTAGCTAAATATATTCGTGGAAAGAACATCAAGTCCATGATGAAAAAGATTAAATGGCTTTGAATTTGTTAGGAGGTATGAATTAAAAGTATAAAATAAGTTATATATATTATCGATTAAATTTGTTTTTAACATTAAATTTTAAGATTATAAATTAGAGTTGGTCATTTATTGCTTGAATATATCAATTTTTTTTTAAAATTTATATTCTATGTGATTATCATGACATAAATAACGAGTTAGGCGAACCAATAGAATTGTTCAAAAATCCCTAAGATATGATGTCATGGAATGGGTGATCCGAGATTCACACCCATTCGACTCTGGTGACGGTGGACAAATTGGTTTAGCGTGGAGGGAAGTGGATAATTTTTTCCTTGGAAAAATCTTATTGCCTTTATGAGAAATTCCGAAATGGTGTGCGAATCAGTTTGTATGATGCCAAATTTTTTTTACATTGAAGGGCAATTCTGTTCTTCAACTCCATCAATTCTAGAATATCTATTAATTGTTACTGGTGCGTGCTAGAAAATTCGCAACGGTAGAGTATTGTCTTATCGTCTTAGCGTTGCACGAAAATGCAACACACAATCATATAAAAAAAAACAACTAATAGTGACATCAGAAGTTTTTACGTGTAAAACCCGTAAAGTGAAAAAATCACATGACCTAGCCTAACTGAAGAAATCTACTATAAATTGGATATTACATGTACAGTCCCTCGTCCCACAGATGCAAAAGAGTTAAACACTCTTTGGAGTTATAATGTCAGTGCACGGATAAACTTGTTGTGACAAGTGGGCGGTGGTCGATGACGATCGGTGGAAACCAACAGGTGGTGGTTGAAGGCGGTCGACAATGGTCAACGGTGACTGAAGTGATGTTGGATTTTAGGTCCTCAAAATTTCAAGCTCTTCTTCAGGCTTCAATGTTTTCTTCTCCTCATGAGAGAAGTGAGACTCTATTTATAGTGTTTTGGGTGCAATTAATACAAGAATATAAACTACTTTGATCTAACGGTCCAGGGAGTTTCCTTTGATCAGACTGCATTTGATGGACATTTGAGTGCCTTAACGATGTTATAATTAATAATTCTTGGGTTCGTTGGATTTGTCTTATCGAGACGCTCGATTTGACTATAGACTTGCTAGATTCAACATTTGTTTGACCTTCAAAATGTCTAAAAAACTTTTAAGGGTGATTTAATGACTTGATTTGAGCTTGATTTAACTCGGATTGGACTAGTTTTGATATCTTTGATTCATAGAGTTGCTTAGTTTGACTATATGTTTGCTGAAATCGGAGCTTTGGATGACTTTTTATTGAGGTTTGAATATTTCTTGCTAAAACACTTGTCTCGAGATCTATGTCATGCCTTTAGATTCATGCCCGATGATGGAGATATGTTGGAGATATATCAGTTACATTTAGAGAGATAAAAAAAATAAGTTGTATTAAAAGAAAACTCTTGTTAGAATGATGACTATAATATAATGTTCCTTTAATTGATTATATATCAGACGGAACCGCGTTATATTATTTTCTCCTTTGCTTTTACTTGTAGCTTCTGTGGCGGATTGGATGATTTCCCTGCATGACTTGTTTTTTAAATCTATTATCTGATAGTTTGTTCCTCTGCAGCATCTGTTTTTTTCTGGCTTTGACCGTAATGCAAATGTCTCTCATTTTTAGAATTTCATGTGTTCGAATAAAAGTCATCCATATTCGGATATATTCTTAAACAAATACTTTTCTTGATCAATCTTTTATCCCTTAAGCTCATTCCTATACTCGTTTCTTGTTATTTTGTCACAGATTTTGTCTATTATGTCAATTAAATTTTGATTGGTTTTTGTTTTTGAGCTGCAATGTTTAGATGTGGGGGCATTTACATGCACAGATCACAATTCTTATGTATTTATGTCTCACCTAAGCTTTTATATTTATACATAGAATATTAAAATTTTAATATCACATAAAAATTAGCATGATTAACATTTTTTTTAAAAATTAAACTACACATTTTTTGTGCATGTTTGAAGCACCAAAATGTTTTGTATGTGAATATGAAAGTTTAGATGTGAGGCATGTAAATACATAAGAATTGTGGTATGTATGCAAATTTCCCTTACAAAATTTTATGAAATTGGCAGCTTTTTTTTTGTTGACTTTGCGTAGCTCCCGATTGTTTTATATATTTGGGCTCGTCCTCCACATTCTAATAAAAAAATAAAAGAAGTAACAATTCTGTATAAATTTGCGGTTCTAAAATGTTCGACGAAATTAGCAGCTCTATTCCTATTAAATACTCAGTCCAACTTCTATTGCAATTAGTTTGCTCGAGCTGGATGTGAATTGTCGACGAGAGCTCCACTTGGCCTGTTAAATTAGATATATACATGGTTGATTTTTCTTTATAACCGTTTAGCGGGAGCTCCACTTGGACCGAAGCAACCATTGGGGTTTGAGTGCCCAGAGGGACATGGGTCTACTTTGATCATCTCGGGCAGATAATTATCCTCTCGATTTTTTCTTTTAAATTTCCTCTCAATAAATTTATGGGAAATTTATCTGCTTAAAATATTAAATAAAAAATATATTTTAAATTTTCCCTTGTTTTGCGCAAGTGAGATGAAGTAAAAAGATTTGAGAATCACGAAGCTGTCATGCTGCATACTGCTTCTCTTTCTTGACCATTTATCTCTTCTTTTTCTCCGCATGGAAGAGGAGGAACTTGAGTTGGAGGGAATTAAAAAGAGAGATTGGAGGGAGAGGAGTAAAGCTAGATCACTAATTAATCAGTGAGGGAGGGAGGGAGGGATGGGGGGTAATGGAGATAATAGTCTTAAGTATTACAGGTCCAGGTTCGGTGACACGACGTTGACGAAGGTGTTTGTTGGGGGTTTGGCGTGGGAGACTCCAGCAGAGGTACTCCGGCAATACTTCGAGAAGTTCGGGGAGATACTCGAGGCTGTCATCATCACGGAAAAGAATACGGGTAGATCCAAAGGCTATGGATTTGTATGCATTCTCTCTCTCTCTCCCTCTTTCTCTCTCACTCTAGTCTCTAAACCCTGTGAAATTCGGAAGTTAGAAACATTACTCACTAATCTAATAATCGCTTCTTGTTTAATTTGAATGGAAAGCTAATTTAAGCTTTAATGATCTATATTCTTTCAAAATTAATCTCTGTTATTTCTCCGTTTCGTTGAAAAATTTTACATGAACACTTGCTTTTGTCTTCTATTTTATTATAAGTTACCAAGAGCAATGGTCGCTCTCTCTCCCGCTATGCCCTATGCCCGTCCCGACATCCTCTTCCAATTAGAAGAAAAACATTTTCTCAAAGTATAATTAGCAAAACGCTGGTAATGTATTATGATATTTATTTATTGAAACTCCATCTCTTCATGCTTAATTTTAGCAGTACTGTGAATAATTTTGAACGAAGTTTTACCAAGCAAAATTCTTATCCGATTGTCCCCACATCCCCAGCCCCAAGGGCTAAACACCTTTTTGTTTGCGTTTGTCAGCATAATTTACTCGAGAACTGGATTACCTGATAGGGTGTTCATGCTTTAAATATCCTACATTAATTTGGAAAATTCCCTTCTAAGGATAAAATTGTCCCAAAATTAAAAGTTTTGTGTATAGAAGGATCAATCATAATGTTTAAAAAAGTGTTGATTTGGGGCTTTTTCGTATCCTAGGCGTTTTATCTTTTTTTTTTTTGAAGAATATGCTAATGTAATATAATTCCTAAATTTTCATTCCAAATTCGTTTAAGCTTATGGCATGGGTAATGTGCAGGTGACATTTCGTGATCCTGACTCGGCTAGACGGTCCGTAATGGACCAAAATCCATTAATTGACGGGAGGCGGGCTAACTGCAATATTGCGGCTCTGGGTCATTCTCGCTCTTCAACCCAACGAGGTATTATGCCCCAAACCTAAACTGCAACATTAATGGAGAAAATTTGAATCAGAATTTTGGATTAAATTTTTTATTTAAATAATTTAAAATTTAGTAAATATATTTTTTAGATCAATAGAAATATAAATATTGGTTTATTTATTCAAGTGGGGAAAAGTGTTGCTTAGACTTTAAGGAAGACTTTATATGATGATGGTAACATTTGCAATGCTTTATGCCGCATAATGTTAGCCTGTAAAAGAGAGGCATAAAATTAAGTTGAGATGATCAGGTGGATGAGTGGCTTTACACTTAGAGATAAAATGCAAAAAGAATATATCCGTGAAATGGTTGAAGTAGCTCTAGTGGCATACAAGCTTAGAGTGAGTCACATTGGATAGTTTGGTTACATTAAACGTTGGCTATCTGATAAACCAGTTAGGAGAGTAGATTTTTTAGATTTGGCTTATGTTAAGAAAGGTAGAAGTAGACCTAAAAAGAATTGGGCATGTTGTATAGAAAAATAATCTTAATTTATTAGAATTAAATGAAAATATGACACTCAATAGGACACAATGGAAAAAAGAAGATTCATGCAACCCTACCCATTTAGTGGGATAATGACTTGTTGCTAAGTTGCATTCATAACATTATATTCAACTTAAATAAATAAATAAATAAATTTTTAATTTTTAGTTTGTTTAAGTTTTGATTGTGTTTAGCGGACAGATGATTTGAAAATGGAGAAAACCTTGATTTTATAAAAATATGATTAATAATTGCTCTTCGAACATAATGTTGGGCCTCATGATCATGATGGAGTAACATTAGTTAAGATAGCATGGATGGGCATGCCAGCTCGTCGGATAACAATCATAGGGTTGTAATCGAATCGAGTATGCGGTGTATTGTACGTGTTCATATTATAATTTGTTCATATTTTGCTTCAGCTCAAGTCGAGCTTGTACATGTATGTTCATACTTGGGATGTTAATATTAATTAAATGAGTACCTAAATGAGTCAATGAACATGCTAAAAATTCAAATGACTATTAAACTTTTTATATAATCATATTAACAAATAACATCATTAATATAAACAAACAAACAATTGAATAAATTTAGAATTAGCGCCTAACTTCTTTACACAATTTAAATAAATAATATATAACTTGCAAATAAATTTTCTTTTTATCCAATAATATAAATTAGTATTAACAAACTAATTCATTGAAATAAGAAGATTAGAAGGAATTGTATTAAATTAATATGCATGTATTCATAATGACATAAATTATTTTGAATTGATTTAAAAAAGCTAAAAAGAATTATAAAAAATTACCTTGATAAGTATGCATCTCATGTGAACAAGTGAGGTAAAATCGTGGACAAAAAATGAAGTGTTGAGTAAACCCTGGTTTGTGAAAATGCAAGAAAATTAAAAATACATGATATTATATAAGTAATGTTACTATATGATTGGTAAATGGATTTTATTTTATGTATATAAAATATATTAATTAATATTAAAAAATTTGGCAAAGTGAATATGGTGAATAATGATGTACTAATTATTAAATTGGGTTAATTAATAAATAAATATATAATTAATGATTAATCTTAAAATTGTTTTCATATTAAAATTACATATCTTGCACCCAAACTTTCATATTTACATTTATAACACTTTGATTTCATAAAGTTTTGTATGAAAATGCTCCACTTTTAAACATAGGTGATGGTGATATTTTGATGTAATATTAAAAATTTGTGTTATACATGTAAATATTAAAGTTTCATTTTTATATATGTAAATACATAAGAATTGTATGATTTATATCTAAATGGCCCTAAATTTTAATATATTAGTATTAAATATGTAATTTAATAAACTTTAATTAATTAGATTTTATTTAAATAATATACTATATATGCTACGAGCTATCTTCATGCTTAATAATAAGTTGTTAAAGAATAAATAAGTTTGTTCGTGAACATAAATAAATGAGTTGACCCGTTTATGAGTTTGCTAAATTTAACTTTAAAGTGTCTAAATAACTTTCAAAATTGTTTACTTATTGATATGAACAAGCTTGATCGAATATTAATTGAGCCGCGTTCAAATTATTCATTGAGTGAATTGGTTAATTTACAACCCTAATGCCTCCCAGTATGATGCTGAGCTGACTAAGCTTTTCTTATGTAAATACATAAGAATTGTATGATTTATATGTAAATGCCCCTAAATTTTAATATATTATTATTAAATATGTAATTTAATAAACTTTAATTAATCATATTTTATTTAAATAATATATTATATATGCTGCGAGCTATTTTCATGCTTAATAATAAGTTGTTAAGCAACAAATGAGTTTGTTCGTGAACATAAATCAATGCGCTGGCCTATGTATGAGTTCGCTAAATTTAACTTTAAAGTTTCTAAATAACTTTCAAAATTGTTTATTTATTGATATGAACAAGCTTGATCGAATATTAATTGAGCCGGGTTCAAATTATTCATTGAGTGCATTGGTTAAGTTACAACCCTAATGCCTCCCAGTATAATGCTGAGCTGACTAAGCTTTTTTCGAGGCTTTGGTGCATTATTTCTTTTATTAAGCTACTAAACATTCTAAGTAGTTTGTAAAGTTGAATATACATACTCATTAAACATTTTAAAAATATTTCTAACATATATTTTGTGCTAAGAATTTTGAATTAAGAGTTATATTAAGAAAGATTTAGGGTATATTTGAGACAGTTTTTTTATCACATATGAGCGTTTGCGGTTTTTCTGTTATTTTTTTTAAAAATTTGCAATGAAAAATTGCTTATATGAATTAGATTTGTTAAAGTGTTGTAGTTATAAGAAAGTTATTAGCAGATTTTTTTTTGAAACAAAATTGTTTATAAAACTTACAATTACTTTTTAAAAAGTTGCTTTCTTTATATTAACTTTTTAATCATCTTTTGCAAAAAGTTTAACAGCCATAAACAAGCCCTAAATTGCTCAAACCAAGACAATATAGAGATTTTTATCTGAAGTTTCGATAGCAACAAATAATAGGATCTTTTTAATTAGAATAAATTAATACTTTTGTTTTGAGATTGCCCTCATCTAAAATAGGTAAAATTATAATGTAAAAATTTAGTGAGAACTTGTCTTTTGAGGTAGCACCAAGAGATGGCGATGTAGATGAGCTGTTGATGAAAATTATAAATCTTACCTTCACACCTTTCTAAAATTATTGTGGCTTCCATTGGGTTCTAATTCAAGAGTCATTTGTAGGACTAAAATGTCCTTGTGTTTGCAAAAAAATTGATGCCTATATTATAACCTATCGTCCTTAATCCTTGTTTACTCTTAACTTTGATACCTTTATCATGTTATAAATCATCATAATCATTATTATAAACCTTGTTTGGTTGATGTCATCAAGAGCTTTTAAGTATTATATGATTGCAATTGTTCAGGGACTTCCGTGGTTGATGACAATTATTATAGCACCACTTGAATATTATAGTAAGCATCAACAAACAGTTAGACTTGACTCCATCCTAGTTAAATAAATCGAGGAATCAAGGGAATGGGATCATCTGATTTTTTGTTTCCATGAAATTTTCTTTGAGCCTTTTGTTACGAAAGTATTTACTCTAATTGTATAGACCTTACCTTTGTTTTAGCAGGCATTTTTTTTGGAAAAAAATTGATATATAGTTATGTTTTTGAACCAGATTAATTTCAATCAAGTTTTAAGCTAATTAATGGTTATATATGTTTCATTGTTCTACAGGACGGAACCAAGAAGCAGGTAGATCCTACTTGGCCCCACCACAATCAACAGGCCAACCGTATGCCAGAGTGCCTCAGTTCATCTACCCCACACCATATGGGTAAGTCCCAACTGAGGAAACAATCAGCATTCAAAATACAGTGTATGGGACCCAAATGAAATTAACCAATTAATTGATTCTCATTTGTTAGACAAGTTTTTTTTTTTCTTTTTTTCATTTAATCAAACCATTGTGAGTTTTGTCTAAGCCTCCCATTTGGTTGAATTTTGATCGGGTCAACTCTAACGCTGATTATATTTAAATAGTTGGAAACTTTAATCTGTGTATGATCATGATCTAACCATGACCCTAGTCAGGTTAAATTTTTTTATCAAATTTAGGCCATCAAACATCTTTATATATA